GCCTGAAATTTGGCTTTTATTTCTGTCCATCTCCATCTAGGTTAATCAGCGCAATGTTCCTGGAATTGATAGTGCCTATTTGGCAATGGATACAGAAGAAGGTGTGGAGGTCGTTTGGAATGAAGTCCAGTTCTCAGAACGCAAGAATTTTAAGCTTCAAGAGGTGGGTGAAACTGGAATGAAGAGTTGTGAAAAGGCCGACAAGATATCTATTGTATGAGGGCTCAAATTTTCTGTGACTATGAATAAGTTTCTTGAAATCGAGCAGACAAGGAGAATGAAGGTGTTACTGGATTATTTTATGTTGCTGACTAGTCTGCTTGCTTGACTTAAATTTAACTAATGCCTCCATCTTGAAGTCTTGAGAGTAAATATGGATGAAGAGCTGTGTGTGAAGTAGATGAGTCCAGTTTCGGGCTGTGTTGAAACTCTTGTAATGATATTTTCTTTTTCTTGAGTTGTTTACACTATTTTGTTTTGCTGCTGCTGCAGGAAAAGGTCAAAGCTGTCTTTGACAACCTGATCCAGTTGGAGCACCTGAACATTGTGAAATTCCATAAATATTGGGCAGATGTGAAAGAAAATAAAGCTAGGGTAAGTAGAATTTTATGTGATTCCCTCCATCATTTATCTTAATGTGAAAAATATGAAGCACCAGCAGTTGATAACTTCCACCCTATTACTAGGTTATCTTCATTACGGAATACATGTCCTCTGGTAGCCTGAAACAATTTTTGAAGAAAACAAAGAAGAACCACAAGACTATGAATGAAAAGGTAACTTCTTTCCAACCTCGTATTCTCTTCCCAATTCTCTAAATTGTGTTTGTGCTATTCTTTTTTTTTTTTTGGTGTCTGTAGCTCTTGGCCAAGGTACTGTTGCTTCCCTTCCTTCCAAAGACTGTGAGAAAAAATTGGCTATCTAACTCATAACCATTTAGTAAGTTTGTTCCCTGCTGAGAGTCCTGAGTTAATCCATATAATTCTGAAGCAAAGTAAAAGGAAACCAGCTGTGATATGAAAGTCAAAAGTGTCCAGTAGTAAGGAGAATAGAAATGGCATTGTAGAGACACCAAGTGAGGACTTAGTTTTGCAGGAGATGCTGAAAGCTTTTTGGTGATATTTCATTTGTATTACAGGCCTGGAAGCGTTGGTGCACCCAAATCCTTTCTGCCCTCAGGTATGTGCCTTTACATATATGAAAGGGAGGACAGCCTTGAGCGCAATGTTGGTGTACAAATGATTACACTTGTTCAGAGGCTCAAGGGAATATCTGTATTTTTTTTTTATTTCTTGTATAAGGTTTTTGGAGAAAGTAAAGGGAAGAATCTTGCTTCTTTTATTGCTTACGTTGGTCTTCAGAGCTTCTAGGGCAGAGGTCCCCAACATTTTGGGCACCAGGGACCGGTTCCGTGGAGAAAGGTTTTTCCATGGATCGGAAAGTGTGTGGTTTTGTGTGCTGCCTGTATCCCACGGATGGGACTTAGCTTGTTTGTGCGGACCGGTTGCTGGCATGCCACGGACCGGTACCAGTCCACGGACCGGGGGTTGGGGACCCATGCTCTAGGGGTACTATATGATATGGTTTCAGCAACACAGTAAAGTTTCCTTAGAAAGCTCAAAAAAAGACTTGGATTCCAAACAAACTTTACATTCTTTGGATACCAGAAATAATAGAAATGAGGAAGACATTGTTTTTCTGTTAATAAAAAATACATTTTCCTTTTACCTGCAAACTGATTTTGCAAACTTTCCATTTGTATACAGTATCTAGTAACTGATTCGCTCTCTATTGTGTTGCTGTTCCAGTTACCTTCACTCCTGTGATCCTCCCATCATTCATGGAAACTTGACTTGTGATACCATCTTTATCCAGCACAATGGGCTTATTAAGATTGGATCAGGTGAGGCTGTTGTGGAATTAATTTGTGATTTAATGTATGCTATGATTCCATCCTTGGCTTGCTTTGTTCCCTGACATTGGTTCAAGCTTTATATTAGTCCAAGGAAAGCTCTAGGGCTTGGAGTATATATTGTTATGTCTGTATAACAGGACTCTGTTGCAACTGGTGCCTCTACCTTATATCTGTTGTTGTTGACCTCTGGAAACTTCCTGGACCTTTTGCCACTTGCAGGCTGCTCTATCCTCTTTTTGTAGAGTCTTTTGCAGGCAGAAAACTTTGCTGCCAACTCATTTTTATCTCTGTCATTCAAACATTTGGAACCTTGGGGGGTGCTACTTGTTCATGGCTCTTCCAAGCCAATCTTACACTTGAACACACTGATTCATCAAAATTGTAGGGGAAGGCAGGATGGGTAGAGCTCTTTGTTTAGCTTCTTCTTGGGCTGTCAGTTTCTTGTGTCCAGTCTTAGTGAGCTGTTAGTAAACAAGTAAAGTATCGCTGTTGGCTGCTCCATTTTTCACAAATATATGCTTAGCATTTCATCTCATTTTTTTGTGCTGCTTATGTCCTATTCAATGAATTATGCCAGTTTAATTCATGAAAATTATCAAGATTACTTTTGGAGCTTATGGGACAGTGTTAACCATGATTTAACCATGGTCATGTTAACTCCATAATTAAATTGATATAAACATAGTTTCTGGATAGTCAATTGTTGAAAAAAACAAAACTCATATAAACATAATAGTTGTGTTGGATCAAATCAAAGATCTCATAATTCTGTTTCCCCAGTAGCCAACTTAGATGCCAAAGGGAAGCCCATAAGCTGGTTAATATGAGGATTCTGCTTCTCATATTACTTCATTTATTACATTTTTATCCTGCCACACTCCCATTGAACTCTCAGAAGTTAGTGATTTATATACATCATGTTTTTAATGTAAATATGCTGCCCCAGTATCCAAAATAACACAGTGCTGTCATATTTAGTAGCTGTAAAAAACTTTATTCCCCATATATTTATCTGATTACCTTTAATGTCATAAGAATTGGTGGTCATCACTACTTCAGCATCTTTTCAAACTGCAGTTTCCAAGTATTTGGAGGGAGGCATAATGACTACATTGGAATTAGATTCCTCACAATATAAAGTATTAATAAAAGCAATATTTTATGGTGTGTCTTTGGGTTTAATGTAGTATGGATCAAGTAAATAAAACTACTCTGAGAAATCTTCATAGCTTGTAAAATCCAAGTAAACAGGAAATATCCTTGAGAATATGATATACATACACACACACACACACACACCATGAATCAAGCATCAGTAGTAAAATAAACATGGTTATTGAAATAGGTTGTTGCATTAAGTGATCTTAGTGTCAGTCTTAATTACATGAGATGTATCTTCTTGAAAGAAGTGGAAATTGGAACTCAAGCTTCCAAATAACAAAAATGTAGTGTCAAGTGATATGTAATGGAAGAGTTCTTCACAAAAATAAAGATTTCTAATTCTGAAATTAATCTTGCTCTGGATAAAATTAGTTGAGAAAAAGACCTTGAAATTGTTTCCTTGCCTTTTGATGTCTTTGGAGGTAGAGATAGAGGAAGAATCTTGACTTGGTCTAAAAAGTTAATAGATTCTGCAGTTGGATTCACAAACATCTATCACTGCATCTGAAGGACATTTTTGTAGTAATTATCTTCTATTAGGATTACTACATAATTAAACCCAAGAAATGAACATAAAACAAACCTAGCTCTCAACACTGTTTGAATAGAGGGTCATGTTAACTGGCCATCTCTGACAGAAGAACAAAACTAGAACACTAGCCACTATGTGTAGTTTTGAGTTCTGTTTTGATGGACAGTTCTGTTGGTCTGAGGAAAGGGTGCATGGATTAGACTCTGCATGTTCTGAACAGGTAATTCATATGAGTTGAGAATAAGCAGGCTGAGCAGAGTTTGCTTTGCAGTGACTAATGGCAGCTTAAATAAATTGAAATGCAACAATCCGAAGTAGCTTTGTGATTGCGCTGCTTCCAGGACTGCTTTTCTCTGGGAGTAAGGAACAATTCTGTCTTTATTCCAGAACTCTTGTGCGAAATTAGAATTCTTGAAATAGCTCTTTGAAATAAGCACTTGCTTTTTCCTTTCTTTCCTCAGCATCCAATTATTAAGAATACTATAATGATGAAAAATTGGCCCACAGATAGATGCAATTGAAATCTCATTAAATATTTTGAAAGGGAATTTAGCGCACTCACCCTTTTGCCTGTTTGATGGAATGTTGAGAAGGAAAGCAAACAGAAACATGTCAAATTCAGAAACGAAGACTTCCTGCAAGAACTCCGTTGAAGAATAAGGAGGAGAAGGAAGCTAGGGTGCTAAATGGCAGGAAAGATAACCCGTCCTGCATGGAACTGGTTCAGGAGTTATCTAAAGGATTAACCACTAACCACTATATAGAAGCATAAGAGTGCCGTAGTGGGTGAATGAGGGTCTACTTCTATCTTTGTCCTAATTTATTAATCACTATTCCATTTTTTCTCTTCTCCTTAAAACAATCTTTGTTTTTTGGGATATTTTTTTGGAGTTCTTCCCATTCTTCCAATCTTCATTCTGCTTTTTCTTTCTCCTCCCCATTCTATCACCATAGTTCAGGCAAATGCATCCCAGTAGGTTTCCAAGCTCAGCAACACCAGAGGCTACCATTGAGGCTCCCAGAGACAGAGGTACAGAGGTGGTGAGGTTGGAGAAGTTGAACAACGGGGGACAAGCTCTCAGCGAGGTGCAGTCCAAAAGAGAGGGAGAAGGAGAGCTGCAACTTAGAAAATCTGTGATAGGGATTTACCAGGTAGAGAGTAGGAATTCACTGAATGTCCTCTTCCCTTGGGAATAGTTGGAAGGATACTAAAATATTTAAAAATCCATATTTTTGAAAATTGAAGGGCTTGAAGATAGACGAACAGCATTTTTTTCCTAACCAATCACCCAGAGGTGTTGTATATACTATGTGAATGAAATGCAAGAAAGGCTTTCTGTTTCCAGGCAGATCCTCCATCTGAACCTTTTCTCTTTTCCTCCTCCAAGGAAAGGCACGTGGCCATCCAACAGCAAGTCAAGAGAAAGAGTGGGGTAGTGGTAGAGGGTGGAAAGATGGCTCTGGACTAAGAAGTGGATTCTGAGAAGTAGAAGATAATAATTTGTAGTTGATGGATGGGCCAAATGTAGGTGTTACATTTGGTTCCTGTCTCACTTCCCATGGAGACTCTATACCCAAAACAGCTGAGCACTGACCTCCTTTGTGGATTTTGATAGAGGTTCAGGATAAAAAACCCCTTCACTCTGTCCTGATGAGACAAGCCCAGTCTGTCCCATTGCTACGGGAGGTAACAGTGGCTTAGCTGAAAGGCTGGCTCTTCCATCAATTCTTGGTTTTATTTCCTGCTGATGGGCTGCCTCTCTCTCTTTTTCTTTCTCTTTTGCCAACAGTCTTTCATAGGATTTTTGCTAATGGTGAGCAAATCTCTCTGCTCTGTGATGTGACTGTGACTTTCTAAAAATAATAATATATATATAGACATAAATGGCATCATATATATATATATATATATATTTGTATTATATACAAAAGCTCCTTTTTCCCTTCAGTGTCCCTTGCTTATGACTCTAGTATAGTTGCGCCTGCCCTTGGCTCTTGGTTGGAGAGGAGTCCCGCCCTTCTCTCTCATTTCTGGTCTGTGTTTTCTCTGCTGTCCTGCTGCATGCTTCCTCCTGCATGTGAACTGCTCTTGTCTGAGGAGCGGCTGCTGTCTCCTTCCCTTGCGGCCATGATTGGGATTTTGCTTGCTGCTTGCTTGTGGCCTGAGCTGTGGCCAACTATTTATAGGGATAATGGGTGAGACTTATAAGAGTGCTAAAATGTTGTCCAGTTTAGGGACATGTTGAATTCTTTTTGGGGTTTCTAGTTCTAGGCTCTCCTTTGAATGTTCTTATTCTGGAACTATTCAATTCCCTTCAGCATAGAAGGATTTCTTGGGGATTTGCTTGCCTTCCCTATCCCAGTGCCTAGGTATAATAGGTAAGCAAGCCTTTCTGTTTCTGGCAGAGTAGAGTGATTGAAACTGAACAATAAGACAGGTTGCCAGGAAAGAGCATAGAGAAGATGAACCTCCAGTGAAACATTAGCCAAGTCTGGCAAACAGAGGCCTTGGGGACTGATTAAAAGAAAGAAAAAGCTTGGATGGAAGAGAGTTGCTGATGATGAGCCTGTGTCTTTGAGTTTCCAACTGAGAGAAACCTTTGGGATAGTTGTATGTCCAACAATGAGGACTGAAAAGAACTTGTACCAAGTCCATGTGGTCCTTGGTCTAGGACAGTGGTGGCGAACCTATGCCACGGGTGCCAGAGGCGGCACTCAGAGCCCTCTCTGTGGGCACGCGTGCCGTCGCCCCAGTCCTAGGCCTTCAGCTGGGTTTTATAAAACCTTTTCGCTTTAGGCCTCCGCCGCCGTGTGCAAAAAAAAAAAAAAAAGTTCAATCAGTCAATTTCAACTTCTCACGAGAAAAAAAAAGATCTTGCAAAGTTGGAATTGATTGATTGAACTTTTTAGTCCCACCCAGTCTGCCATTACCACCGCAGCCACGCCCACCCAATGGGCCACGCCCACCCAATGGACCCACCCAGCACTCGACGATGAATAAGTGGGTTTTGGATTGCAGTTTGGGCACTCAGTCTCTAAAAGGTTCGCCATCACTGGTCTAGGAAGTTCAGAAGATTGCAAAAAACAGATGCCATACTCACTGAGAGGAGAGTGATGGCTGCCAAATGGAGGCAGCATGAAGAGGAGCGCTATTCTTTTGCTTAAGCTGTGTATATGATAGAAAGAAGATGGAATTTCTTCCATTTCATGATTTGGGTTTACACACCATGCTAAGCGACAATATAATTTTAGACTTCCTGAATCCAGTTATAACTTAATCCCCAATCAGTAGCAAAATGAGATATGACGAACCTAGCCTACATTTATTAAAATAAGTAGCATATTTACAATACATTATTATATTTTTTGTTTATTTTATTAAACAAATGTACATGGCTACCCAACTCACACGCAGTGACTTTGGGCGGCTTACAACATTAAAAATCCACAATCGTTTATTAGTCCTTAAGCAGTGTTAAGAGATGGAGTTTACTAGTGAGTTCATCCAGAAGTAGAGAGTGTATGCATTAGTTTTAGTCTGTTGAGAACATAGTTACATTGTACATACTTAACTGTTGACATACTGAAAAACACTATGTGTAAACCTTACCATTAATGAACACAAAGATATGAAAGAAACTAATAATTTTATAGAAAGAAATTGAAACAAGTATAATCAAATTAATAATAATCAAATATAGTATTAACGAAGAACTCTTAGTGTACATGAAAGTTTATACCAAAATAATTGTAATGCCCTACAGTACTACTAGTTTAACAAGTAGAATCCACTGGAGGTGGGCGGCTAATAAATTTAAATTATTAGTAAGCAATTAAACAATATAATAAGTAATTGTAATAATATAGGGAAATGAGTTATTTATGTCCATCTCTATTTTGATAAACAATATAGTACATACATACATGGAATGCATATGTACATACATAATGGAATGCATATTTCTAACAATGATCACTGGTAGCTACAGCTACAGTTTCTCATTATTTAATGAGGACCTAAAAAAGGTTGCCTGATAAAAAGCTTTTTCAACTTATTTTCAAGCACTTACCAGATTTTTGGTTAATGCAGAAAGTATATGGGTGTAAGAAAAGCAACATATTGCAGGAAAATTTCAAACGGGAGCAAATATCTGGAAATACTTTTACTCTATTGGAGAGTAGACTTTGACATTAAGCGAAAAATAATATATATTTAATTTGTTTGACTGCAGTAGCGGTGCTACTAGATCAATTTTATTCTGGACTGTGGTTTAAAGTATATAGGCTTAGTCTGGTCCTGCCAGTATTTTTTTCTGTTGTGTGGAGTCCTTGGTGCTCTCTGAACATGGTACATCAGCAGGTTACATATACATAAACAACATCTACATACCATTCAAAAGAGACGATCAAAAAGTGAAAAAGGAAACAACCCCAAAACATCTCCTGACCAACAATCAACACCCAGATGAATAGAGATAACACCAAGATTAACCCTAAACTAAAAATCAAGAAACTACCAACTTAACAAAAATGCTAACAATAAACAGCAGCCTAATCAAGGAACCACCAAGACCGGTCCTTCCAACATTGACAGGGCAAGCCCCTAGTATATAAAATGAGAGCAAATCCACTCCCTTGCCGTACTGATGATGTTACCTAGTTTGGTAATTAAATGTCTGCAAGAAAACTACAAGCTCAGAGCACCAAGGAGTCCAAGTTCACAGTTCAACCCTAAGCTACAAATATTCTCTTCCATCAGAAATAGTTGTCCTTTCTCATTAGTCTTAAAGCATAATCTGCTGCTTGACTTCCACATGCTGATTTTCTGTCATGTCAATAGGGTCTAACAGCTTTTGAGAACTGTTATTTTCAGTCTATTCCTCTCACTTATCAAAAGGTGAGGCATGAACGAAAATATCTAACACTGCTTAAATAGAGTGAATTAGCTTGCACCATCCTCAAGCCTAAGACTGGATTTGTATAATACATGTATCTTAGTTAATAAATTAACCCATTTCCTGGATCTGTGTAACATAAACAACAGCAAACTAAATACACAGGCTAACTTGGCAGAATATCTAAGCCACACATACAAAAGCAAAAAAAAATGAAGCTTTGCACATTGTGTAAAGGCATCCACTAGGTCTTTAACTGAGCTAATTAATATTGGAAGAACATAGCACACAAACAGTTCTGTATGGATAATTTGGGGGCTTAGATTTTTTTTCTTTTTCTTTTTTTTATGTCTACCGAAGTTATACCCTGTCCACAGTGGATCTTTATTGGTTTCCAAATTTTCTCAGGATGATTTTTGTATCTTGGCTAGAATGAGACTTGGTGTGCCAAGCACTTCTTAAGAATTTGTGATAGTCATTCATTGACCACTTTGTTTTTCTTTATTTACTGGTCAATTTAGGGACTGTTTTAATAAGCAGGTTAAATATATTTTAAAAGAAATTATAAATGTCCAGGTGCTGCCAGAAGCATGGCTTTGTTTGCGGTATCAACTGAGAAAGTTGTGAAAAAGATAGGGGGTAAGTGTTGTTGAACAATTGGGCATGTTATTGGGAAGTTGCTTTTTTTGCATAAGACGGCAAGGTGATGGGTAAAGTATCAGCATTTTGGGATCTACTTTGAGCTTTGCCTGCATCTGTGCCTGCCTGGAAAAATAGTGGCTTGGTGCAACTATCCAAAATAAAATTGTTAGAGAGAATGGGCTCTTTTACTGTCATCAATGGACAAAAGCTGCTCACCTATTCTAATAGCGTATGTGTGTGTGTGTGTACACATACGGAATCTACTTTCTTCTCATGTATGTTTCTTTAGAAAGATGAGATGATTGCTTTGCCTGGCTTTGAGTTGATGCAGAAAAGACCTGGGGTTTCTGGAAGAGAATGTAGGCATCCCTCTTTTTGCTTCTGAGTTCGCTTATGATGTGGTGCTGCCTGAAAGCTGGGGAGGCCGGAAAGAGCAGTGCTTCTTTGTTTGGGGTTCCTTGCAGAGATGAACTAGATGGAAGCTGCCTCAAGTCCCAAACATCAGAAAGGAAAGAGAGGCATGGATTCTGATTGCCTACCATTCTCTTCTCTTATAGTTGCCCCCGATACCATCAACAATCATGTGAAGACCTGTCGTGAGGAGCAGAAGAACCTGCATTTCTTTGCTCCAGAGTATGGCGGTACGAATATGAGGATATTGGGACCTGCAGTTCTGTATTAACTGCAGCAGAAGTGTTCAGTCTGTTCTCTTTGCCTTAGAGATAACTTCTGATTATTGTTTTTTGTTCCAGAAGTTGCACATGTGACTACAGCAGTGGACATCTACTCCTTTGGAATGTGTGCATTAGAGGTAAGTTGAGGGCGATTAGTATATGAAGGCGTCCACCCCACTTGTACACAGGACCAGGAAATCAGTTCCATGTTAAGAGTACCTGGCAAATTGGACTGTGCTTTATCTTCCTTCTTACACAGGTAGTTCTTGGTTAACAACCATTCATTCAGTGATTGTTTGAAGTTACAGTGGTGCTAAATGGACATGCCCAGTCCTAGATGTTGCAACCATCACAGCATCCCCCGTAGTTGTGTGATTGTAATTTGGGTGCTTGGCAATTGCCTTGCAATTTAGACAGTTGGAGCATCCTGTGGTCATACAGTCACCATTTGCAACCTCCACTGCCAGCTTCCCACAAGCAAAGTCAATGGGGAAGCCGGCAAGAGGTTGCAGCTGGTGGTCCTGTGATGTTGCACCTAACACCTGTGTGGGATTTGCTTAATGACTACAGCTAGAGCTGCTGTTGTAAATTGGCACAGTCACATGGCATTGCAGATTACAACCCCGCTGCTTATTCCCAATTATTGTTGTTAAACTGAACTATCTGTACTTCAGTGAATCATTTACCTGAGCTTCTTCCAAATATTATCTTTTCTTGGGACTTATAGAATGTTTTAGCCCTCTTTGTGTAGGCAACTGTTCTGACATATTTCTGTCGAGGTCATCTCCCTCACTCAACACAGAAGATGTGGGGATAGTTTTTTTGTTATAGCTTCAGGGTTTGGAGAACAGACCTAAAGAGGGTTCCGTTATTTTTTTCTCTTGTTCCCTTTCAATTAAGACTGTTTCTAAATTCCTTAGTACTCTGATATGCTCCTGTCTGAAGGAATAATGACTAATAAAATTAAATGATTGGAATGAAACCAATTTCTTTGTTGAAAGTAAATTTAATCTAGTGGAAAGATAAAAAAATAGTTGTTTGTTTTGATTCATATATAGGGTGATGAGAAAGATTTTTCTGTCGTGGCTGATAACATTTTCTGATAAATGGTGGACCTGTCTGTGGCGGTCTAAAGATATCGCCCATTGACATCTGTTTCTATCCTGATAGATGGCAGTGCTGGAGATCCAGGGAAATGGTGAATCTTCCTATGTGCCACAAGAAGCTATTAACAATGCCATCCAATTGCTAGAGGATCCATTACAACGAGTAAGACTGTCCTCAATTCTTTTCCTTGCTTTCCCCTTCCATTCTTTTTCCCAGCTCTCAGGACTACAGTAGCACAAAATTTGGCCTCCTTTTTTCTTTCTAGGAGTTCATTCAGAAGTGCCTGGAGCCACAACCTAGCAAACGACCCACAGCTCGTGAGCTTCTCTTCCATCAGGCTTTGTTTGAAGTACCCTCTCTGAAGCTTTTGGCAGCCCATTGCATTGTGGGCCATCAGCGTGAGTATAGCCAACTGAAGTCTGGGACTACTGCTAAGAGCAAAACCCTTCACTAGTGTGTAAAAATATTTTTTATGAAATGTATTTGTAGCTCAGTAACTAATACATCATAATATATCCAAAAGTACCCCAAAATGAAATTACAAAGCAGAAAAATTCAAATCTACTAAAAGGAGGCAGCCAAGATGAACAGAGAAGTTCCAAATAGCTTCCTTTGTATCTAAGCAAGATTGATCATCCTGAAATTTGGATGCTCTCACATGTCTTCTCCTAATGCCTCACTATCTAATATTAGCATCCTACTTCCATTATTATAAATCTGGAAGTTGTGTGGTTCAGAAATGTGAAAAACACATAAATGCAGATGGACTTCAGTCCAATTCTCTTCCTTTTGAATAGTAGTAAAAAGCCCTAATAAACAAAGAAATATTAATACATTGCCTAAAATAATTTGCTTGAGGGGAGGAGAGAGACATTGTAGTTTATCCCTGGACTATCCAGTTGTGATTTCAGTTGCGATTTCAGTTAAAAGGATTAAATTAGCTAGGATAATGTCTATTACCTCAGTGAGATCAACCTCTTCCTAAGAATTTAAAATATCCTCATAAGAATATATATGCTACTACAAATGTGCAATTTTATAAATCTTCCTATTGCAGTTGTCTACCCTGTCCTTTATTTTGTATTTGTTTGTATCCTGCCTTTATTATTTTTATAAACAAACTCAAGGTGGTGAACATATCCAACACAACGTCCTCCTCCTATTTCCCCCCCATCCCCGACAACAACCCTATGAGTTGGGTTGGATTGAGACAGAGAGAGATTAACCCAGTCATTCAGCTAGTTTTCATTTTTTTCTAAACTAAAAATAGTTTGTTTTTGTAGAAGGTTGTATTGCTATCAGTATTAATGCCCTTTTTTGGTACAAAATTAAAATATTTACAACCACTTAGGTTCCCTCAGTATATGTGTGAAGTTAGAATTCATTGTACCAACATTTAGAATTCTGCATCAGTTTGAATTTAACATGTTCATTCCCCATGTGGAAATCTTTTTAAAACATAATTTTAAAATCTGTTTAAATTTTCATGATACTGAATAGTTAGATCTCCATCTACAAATCATTTTCATTCCATCATTTCATTTATGTTTTCTTTTTTAAATTTCTATGGTACATGTACAGCATTCTGGATAGCCATGCTCCCCCCCCCCTTTCTTCATGAGATGGTTAGTCCTTTATTGTATTTCTTAAATCTGCTTTTTTAATCTCAGGTTTTTTTTAATTCTTCAGGGAAAAGTGGAAAACATGTTTTGGAAACCACTGGTTAAAACAGTGAGTTAGTGAAGGAAAAATAGGATAATGTGTACCTTTTATTTTGTGATAGACATGATCCCTGAGAATGCACTTGAAGAAATGACCAAGAACTTGGACATGAGCGCTGTACTGGCTGAAATCAACCATGCTGACCGTGATGGTGTCCGTATGATGTGAGTTTGAATAGTTGGGAACTGATGGGGGGGGGGGAGAGAGAGCTTTGAGGTGGAGTTTTGGAACTGAGTGTTTCTCTGGTTCTATGCAATGAATTGAGGTCAGCAGAATATTACATGGAATGGGAAGCAATGGACAGCTGGCTCATTAAAGGGTGGATGTGAACTTATGCTATAAAGGCTAAATTGGTGCTCTGCCTTGTCCTAGATTCTCACAGTCCCCAGCGCTGGAACTAGACAAGTTCTTGGAAGATGTGAGGTATGCTCCTTTCTCCTGTAAGGGTTCTCAATGGGATTCTGTTACTGAAGCTAGTGTCCTGGGCAAGCCAACCTGACCCTTTTTTTGTAGTTCACTGAATTAGGCGACACATAAGAGTTGAGTTATTCCGTTTGTGATTCCACAGAAATGGAATCTATCCACTTACTGCCTTTGGCCTGCCCCGACCTCAGCAGCCACAGCAAGAGGTGGTGAAATCTCCCATTGCCCCCCCATCAGTAAAGACTCCAACACCAGAGCCAGCAGAAGTGGAGACTCGCAAAGTGAGTGGCTGGTCCCTAATCCCCATCTCCTTGGCCAATAATAGCAAAGCCTCATCTTATCACACTCCTTTGTAATTTCCAGGTGCTGCTGATGCAATGCAACATTGAATCGGTGGAGGAGGGTGTGAAGCACCATGTATGTATCAGCCTTAGGCTGGGTGACTTATACCAGTCTAGGACTTCCATTTGCCTACAGTGGCTTATTCCCTTTGTGGGGGGGGGGAATTGTACCCTAGTGTTGAAAAACACATTAAGGCGAAAATGCAATTTTCTTTTTTCTCCTATGCCCCACCTTTCATTCAGTTGACACTGCTGCTGAAACTGGAAGACAAACTGAATCGGCACTTGAGCTGTGACCTGCTGCCCAGTAAGTCAATGTCCTTCTCTTCTTTTCTTTTTCATCTTACAGAAAACATACCGATTCTCTCATTTTCCTTCCTTAGGTGACAATATTCAGGAACTGGCAGCTGAATTGGTTCAGTTAGGATTCATCAGTGAGGTAAGTTTCAGTCCTGTTCACAAAAGACTTCTTTTCTCTTTTTCTGGGGAACTTCATTAGGAGTATAGGGATAGGTCAGTGGTGGCGAACCTATGGCACGCGTGCCAGAGGTGGCACTCGGATCCCTCTCTATGGGCACACGTGCCGCTGCCCCAGCCTTGTCTCCCCCTGCGACCCCCCCTCACTAGCAGCCCCCTTGGAGGAGAGTTGCCCCCGAGCGTGACCCACGTGGAGCAGCACAACCAAGGACATGGCAGCCCGGCAGCATAGACAAGACTCTGCCCTCATGCCCCATTGCGCACAGTTAATGCTGCGGGGCGAGCAGAGGGCATGGCCACCATGGTGCTGCTGGGCTGCCTGGGCAATCTGCGGCAGGCCCTGGAGGCAGTGAGTGGCCCTGCAGGCAGGCAGGGTGGGGGCGGGGCAGGGGGTGGAGCAGGGGTGGGGCCAGTCTTTGGGCACTCGGTCTCTAAAAGGTTCGCCATCACTGGGATAGGTCAGTGATGGCGAACCTATGGCACGGGTGCCAGAGGTGGCACTCAGAGCCCTCTCTGTGGGCACACGCGCCGTCGCCCCAGTCCTAGGCCTTCAGCTGGGTTTTATAAAACCTTTTCGCTTTAGGCCTCCGTCGCCATGTGCAAAAAAAAAAAGGTTCAATCAATCAGTCAATTTCAATTTCTCAGGGGAAAAAAAAAGATCTTGCAAAGTTGGAATTGATTGATTGAACTTTTTAATCCCACCCAGTCTGCTGTTACCACCGCAGCCACGCCCACCCAATGGGCCACACCCACCCAATAGGCCACACCCACCCGGCACCCGATGATGCATAAGTGGGTTTTGGGTTGCAGTTTGGGCACTCGCTCTCTAAAAGGTTCGCCATCACTGGGATAGGTTATCTTACAGTGCTTTTTCCATTCTTTTTTAGGCTGATCAAAGCCGACTTAGCTGTTTACTTGAAGAGGCATTCAACAAATTCTTCTACTCGCGGAATGGGGCACTGGCAGCTGTCACTGTGTCATCATAATGGCCATCTTGCTGCTAGCAGGTGTACCCGCTCTGCATCTGTGCAGGGTACTACTCTAAGCCGCTGCCACCACCGTTGCCAGCTTGGATGTGCCTCCCGCATGTGTTATAGCCAGGTCCTGCAGACAATCGTTGCCAGTCTTAAAGGCAGGGGGGGCAAGGTGGGAGGGGAGGGCTGTGTGCCTTGTCAGTATTATTTTCCCCGTGGCCAATGGCCTTCCTTCCCTCTCCCTTTTTTTGGGCTCACATGCATGGAGTTTTCTTTTGCTTGAATTGTACAGGTTTTTTTTTTTTGCACAGCACAGATGTCTGTCTTGTTATTTAAAAGGGTGGGGGGGATGGAGAAGTTAAGTTCTATCCCATCCCATGCTGGCCCTCCACAGTACACATGCACTCTCTAGCCCCACAGTCATTGCCTTATCCCCTCCAGAGGAACTCTTCTCCTTCCCACAGTTGCTTCGTGCACCAGCCTTGCTTCCAGTATCCCTGGCTGCATCTGTTGTGGTGTGAGGGTTCCCTCTGGTCAATAGAGGAAGTAGATAGGTGAACGTCCAGTTCAGGCAGCAGGTGGCAAAGGCAATGTTAAACCATCCTTTCCTTTAGGATATTATCTAATGCCTGCAGGCTTGGGGCCAGTTTATCAGAGAAAGTCAACCCTTCCTGTGCTGGAGCTGTTCCAAGTGTCATTTCTGTTCCTATTTTTAATAAATTGTTTTGTAAATAATTAACTGCAACCTGTTTGTGATTGGAATCTGGGAATCGGAATCACAGAGTTAAAAGGAGCCACTTAATCCAATCTCCTGCTCACTGGGAAAGGGCGTTAGTGATTGGTGTTGGGCTGTTTGTATTCCTGAAGTTTCTTGATCTCTGCTTTCATATTTTTAAAGATATTATCTCATCCACTGACTGTATCCAGGTTGAATCTGAACCTAATTTTCTCTTCTGCTTATTCACCCAAAAATTGCTCACATTTTTAGCCAGCTTTTGCTTTAAAAAGACAAGAAAAATGCTCCCTTGGTTTCTAGGAACTATGTTCTATAGCAAATATTATTAGTTTCTGGATTGTGCAAGTTCTCTGAGTTTGTTTTTATTTGCAGACATTTTGTCTAGGTAACATCTGGAGAAGATCCTAGAACTAAGATATTATGTAGGTTGATATCTGAAGACCTTCCACTATTTAATTAATAATTCTATGTTGAACAGAAAAAAACCTTCCATACAGTGCTGAGATAATTGCTTTTACGAATGAAGGCAAATATGTGTCCCAGAGTAATTGCAAGATCTAATCTGGGTTTGTCACTGGGACTAGAGGTTTAGTCTTCTGAGTTTTCAGACTCATCTTGGAGCCCATCCGTAGGGAATTTCTCTCTACCAGAATATGCGCTTTATGCTATTCTGTGCTTCCTATTTATGCGGTGCTTTCCTATTGGTGGATTGTTGTGTTGATGGCCGGCAATTGGCTGTTGTTTTCTTGTGCCGCCAAGTCCTTAGCTCCTAAGTACAAATAAGGCTTCCAAAGCCTGACTTATAATAACAGATCAAGAAAATGTGTAGCTTCAGCTAACCAGCTTAGTTCTCTCATAGCTCGGAGGTTGTTAAGATCTGAATAATGAGCAAGTTCGGACTCAACCCCAGCAACACTATGGATTCCAAGTTCTTTTATTTCCAATAGTGTATCAGCTTTAGTTCTGGATGGTGTTGCACTTCCCCAGAGGGAAAAAGTATGTATTCTGAAGCTTGCTCTAGATTTGCATCTCTTAAGAAGCAAGTGGAAGTCATGGCCAGAAGGAGCCTTATATCTTATGTACCAGTTATGTCTTTTCAGTTAGCTTCCCAGTGCAACTCATGATGCTGGTAGTTATCTACGTAGCTTTAATTGATTGATCAAATTATTTTTGACTCCTAATGACCACATATTCTCCCTCACAATCTATGCCAGTTTTTTTCAGAACTCCCAAAGGTGCATTCATTAGTACTGTAACAGTCCATTGACTTTCTGCTGGTCATCATCTTCTCTTTCCTACCACCTTTCTCAGAGATGGAGCTTCTCCAGAGAGTTAGGTCTTGGTATAATGTGTCAAAAATAGGATAATTTATGTCTCAAGTGAGAACTCTGGGTTGATTTGATGATCCATTGGTTTGTTTTCTTGGCCACAATTTTCTCAGGAATCTTCTCTAACATCAAAGTTCAAAGTCTTCCTATCTTGCTTCAAAGTTCCGCTTCCAGTTCCACAAGGAATGGAACACAGGGAGTGACACGGAATACCATGTCTTGTACAAGTTTGATCTTTGTATATATGGACACATCACGGCTACATGGTAGGGCATGGATAGCTACAACACCATCTTTCTCCAACTGTACTTACCTATATTGTAAAATCTAGTAGGATTGGCATTCTACATGACCCATCAATAAAATAATGTCCATCTAATGGGAATCTCAAGAAATGTGTCTTCTCTGTGTTCTTCCTGCCGTTTGGAACAGCATTTCTCTGATACCTGCATGGTCCCAATTTTTTTGTTTTTTAGGGAAGCTTTAAAAGCTTGTTTTTCCAACCAGCCTTGGGCCCGGGCAATTTGTGAAGTAGCATCAGAATGCTACTAGACCAGTGTTTCTCAACCTTGACAATTTTAAGGCATGTGGACTTCAACTCCCAGAATTCCACAGCCAGCAGTGCTGTGAAGTAGCATCAGAATGCTACTAGACCAGTGTTTCTCAACCTTGACAATTTTAAGGCATGTGGACTTCAACTCCCAGAATTCCACAGCCAGCATTGCTGGCTGTGGAATTCTGGGAGTTGAAGTCCACATGCCTTAAAATTGTCAAGGTTGAGAAACACTGTACTAGACTAGCCCTGATAGTCTTGTTCTTTAATTTTTATTAGTGGATCACCCTCCTTTAATTCCTTCATGGTATAATAGACTACAGTTACGATTATTAAGAGTTTTAATTATGGATGTTTCTGTTTTCAAGTCAAGGTAAAAGTCTCTGAATTGAACTCAACTCCTGATGCCTTCATGAATTCATTCACTAATGCTTTCTTGAAGGATTATTTTTTTTAAAAAAAAATCCAAGTTAGCTTATAGCCTTGAAATGTCTTAGTGGCCTCCACTCCAAGTACCAAACAGGTTTGACCCTGCTTGGCTTTTAGAGAATATATAGAGTCTTTAAAATTGTCTTCCTCAGCTAATGCCTTTAAATCCTTTGGAATAAAACCACAAACTTCAACATATAGTTCACACTCGTCAAATGATTACAGATTGGAGGCAGTTGCCTATTGGCTCCATTTGAAATGTAATCCTGTGCCAAAGTGAGCTTTGTTCCAATGCAGCATGGCCATTATAACCCAATTTTCTGCAGCATCCCCTTTCATACTGTTATCTTTTGTCATCTCCTTTGAGTTCCTGTCTCTAGAGTTGCAGGACATTTGACATGGGTTATAAATGCCACATCCATTAAAGAAGCCAGACAATAGATTATATAAACAATATATTTAATATGGGAGAATAAATATCTAAAGGGGGTTGAAGACTTAACGAAATGCTGAGGTAGCTCACTGGAAGGAGAAGCTGGTGCTGGGCAGCCCTCCACACCACTGGCTGATGAACTTGAGAACATCCTGGCAGGGGGGGCTGTGTGACATCTGCAAGGGAGGCATGAACAAAGCTAGGGCTGAGATCAAAGTTTACAGATTTAGGCTATAAGGCAAGCTTGCCTACTTTTCTTGCCCTATGCCCTCTTCTACTTATGATTGCTAGCTTGCTTTCTTATACCTTCATTCTCTTCCTCACCTTGACTGCCATCAAAAATTTGTTCCAGCTTTCCTTGTTTGCCTCTTTGCCAGGACACTTGAATTCCACTTTATTCCTTAGTACAGGATAGCCTGAGTGGGGAGAAGGAAAAGAAGACCTATGGAAAGGGCATAAAGAGGACCTGGAGCTTTAGCCCCACATATCCTAAACCTCAGCTGAAGGAGCAAGTTCCTGCCCAGCAAATAATTTCTCTTTTCAAATTTTGGCAAACACAAAATCTTTCTGTGTATTCTGTTGAACCTCAGGATAGCTTCTTGATTACACTAGAGATTAATTTGGACTATTTCAAATATTGAATGCCTTAGTGCTGTATGGATAGTTCTCGACCACAATTGAGCCCAAAATTCCCATTGCTAAACAAGACAGTTGTGAGTTTTGCCCCACGCTACAATCTTTCTTGCCACGGTTGTTAAGTGAATCTGGCTTCCCCATTGACCTTGCTTGTCAGAAGGTCATTTGGCCCCTTGTTGTCTTTTATTATTTTACTCTTATCTCTTTGTCTATGGAGATTCTCAGTCATCCAGATCATGGTTATCCCAAAGCACCTTTGGGACTATTATACCTTTATTTTGAAAGACTGTGAGTAATCCTTTTAGTTAGATTAATTCATTCTGAATGCCATAATTGTTTGTCTGGTTTTTTTATTGCCTATTTTAAAGCAATTAACTATTTTTAAAAAGCACCTAGAGAGAAGTAGAGTCGTTGCAGATAACTATGAATGGACTCATGGATTCAACCAGGACAAATTAGCTTTCTTCAGTGAGGAAATTTCATCGCTAGGCAGAACTGTGGATGCCATTTTAAAAATATGAAATGCCTAAAATGATAACCTTTCAAAGTAAAAACTTACAACTTATAACATACAGAAGTAAATGCTAAAATATAAATATAGTAGGCAAAAATAAAAATTGAATAGTGAGACATGTCTTAGTTAAAAGCATGGTATTAAAAGAAACCAAGTGCAGACTAGAAATAAGTTTAACATTCTTCTGCATTTTAAGCAAAGCAGCACCATATATTTTTATGTCAGGAGTTTAGAAGAGGAAGAACTGTCTGAGTAACTATGGGACAATTTAAAAGACTTTCTCCCCTTATTCTCCCATAGTGGATGAGAATAGGTTCAGAAAAAGGTCGCAGGTTTATATGGGGAGAGGCACCATTTGAAAATCTTATGGAGGAAAGAAGATGAAATATGTTCCATTATAGCTTTAGCCATGCTGAAATGACACCGTGCTCTGTTCACCTGTGATAAGGCAGGGTAGGGAGCGCACGCCAGTGCTTGCTGCTACCAGAGAGGCTTCGTAAGTGTCACGCTCATCTTGTGGTAGCACTTGTTCCAACCGCTGATCCATGGAGACCGTGAGAACCCAGTCACGGATCTCCTCACGCTGCTCTTCCTAGCACGGATAGACATATACGACACTAAGAATGAACGAAAAGTGGCAGCACTACTAATACTTTAGGGCTGGATGGTAGAAGTGCCTGAGTCAACTGGATTGGGAATCTGGCAAGGGCTATCCATTTCCAAGAGATCCCCCTTAGATCCTCCTGCTCAAAATACAAATGGATTGAAATTGCATGTGCATATGAAAACAACTTACTGAGATATGTGGCTTGGCAGGCAGTGGCACTTCAAAAGGGATATCTGTATTTTGGAAGTCTGAGTGGTCTAGAGCATCAAGGGAGCCCTCTTCAATTGCCTGGGAGAGCAAATAACATCAGAAAGAAAAACATGGAGTCCTTTTCCCTCCCCACCAATCTCAAGCGTCTCAGATAAAACTCACATCAGTCAAATCAAGGAAACGGTTCAGGAAGATAAAAGCCATGTTCTGCCAGCCAATACTCTGGAAAGATGAAAGAGAAGGATGAACTAGATCTAGAATGATCTTTCCCAATTCTTGCCAAAAGTCAACACTGTTTTCATTTCCAACGTGGCAAGAGCATTCAAATGTTTTCAAGCTAAGATTGCTTGACTTTTGAGTAGCATATTG